GTTTAATGAAGCAGTTTTGGTGTATAGATCATGCCTGTGAAGTCTCAATGCACAATTCTCTGCCATTTAGGAGTTAAATCACTTTTGTTTCTGCTAAAGCAGCACTAGTGACACATTCCCTGTGACTGACACAGCCTGCATGAAAACAAAATAGTTTAATTTTCAATCAGATGTTAATTGCTTTAAATGTTTTTATCTCCAGTTTTCTAAATTGAACTTTATTTGCATACAGTATGCTCCTGTTGGGTCTAGCTAGCAAGCTATTAACAGAGCAGGAGATATGAAATTATAAATTATTCAGAATTTGCAATAAAGGAAGTGTAAACATTAAATGCACCCCCCTCCGCCCCAGGGTTAAAAAAAAAAAAAGCTTTATTTACTTTCCTGATCCCAGTGCCGATGTCCCTCGGTGCTGGGTCATGGCTCTGCCTCTTCCGATATCCCGTGACGAGCGGGGTCTAATGCGCATGAGCGGCAAATGCTGCGCGTGCCTTATACCTCCCCGTAGGAAAGTATTGAATCAATGCTTTCCTATGGGGAAAAATCTGACGCTGGATGTCCTCACGCAGTGTGAGAATGTCTAGTGTCAGATACCGGAACAAGGGTCCATTTAAATGCTGGAGACAGCCACTGGAGGCAGACTTAGTGCTGCATTGCCGTTCTCTGGAATGACGTTTTACATTGCAGCACTAAGTGCAAAAGGGACACTGTACCTAGACCACTTCAATTAGTTGAAGTGGTCTGGGTACCTATAGTGTCCCTTTAATGCTTATGCATTTCAATCCGGAGCCAGAAACACAGGGTTAAGGTATCAGATGACATTGTTGGTAATTATGTGGTTAATCATAAGAAACAAAAATCATAATTGCAAATGTGTTATCAAACACATCAGGTTTGTGTGGCCCGAGTTTTGTTAAATTCTTTCACTGTAACAGGTAGAAATGAATGTTAAACCATGTTACATACTCTGCTGCCAAGTCTGCAAAGATGATTAATATTGGGATGATGGACTTTGCTCATGCCATGGGCTGTGAATTGATTGTTGTTTCCACGGCAACAAGCAGACCCCATGTGGCTCTCCTGTGAAAGTGTGACATTTCTAATGTCAAGAAACGCAGACAATGTGGTCTGGAAATAAAACACTCAAAGAGTGAGCTGGGGCAGAATGACCTCAAACCCTGCATTGTTCCTTCCATCCTCTGATTTTCCAAACAGTTCCTATTCTACGGCTCTGACAGAGACATTCATTTATTCTAGTATCAGCGTAGGATAATGTCACCAAGTATAATGGCAATAGTAGACCTTGCGTTCAATTACTGGTGACACAACAAGTTTAGTAACACTGAAGTAAAGGGTGAGCATGGCATGGATCTGCTTAAACTAAAAGAAATGGATATCAGATTGCCAACATGTAACGATTAAAGGACCACTATAGCCACCAAGACCACTACAGCTCAATGAAGTGGCTTGGGTGCCAGGTCCCCCTAGTTTTAACCCTGCAGCTGAAAACATAGCAGTTTCAGAGTGGCTGTCAGGGATGTTACTGGACAGGGTTCAGAGCGTTCCTTAAGCTGTAAACTCTGTTCCATGGAGTGCAGGATTCAGTAGCGTTCCTCAAGCTATAATCTCTGGTCCATGTAGTGCAGGGTTCAGTAATGTTCCTCAAGCAGTAAATTTGGATCCATGTAGTGCAGGGTTCAGTGGTGTTCCTCATGTTGTAAACGCCCGTTCATGTAGTGCAGGGTTCAGTTGTGTTCCTCATGCTGTAAATTATGGTCCATGGAGTGCAGGGTTCAGTAACATTCCTCATGCTGTAAATTATAGTCCATGTAGTGCAGGGTTCAGTGGTGTTCCTCATGCTATAAATTATGGTCCATGTAGTGCAGGGTTCAGTGGTGTTCCTCGTGCTATAAGTTCTGGTCCATGGAGTGCAGGGTTCAGTGGTGTTCCTCATGCTGTAAACGTCGGTCCATGTAGTGCAGGGTTCAGTGGTGTTCCTCATGCTGTAAATTCTGGTCCATGGAGTGCAGGGTTCAATAACATTCCTCAAGCTGTAAATTCTCATCCATGGAATGCAGGGTTCAGTGGTGTTCCTCATGCTGTAAATGCCTGTCCATGTAGTGCAGAGTTCAGTAATGTTCCTCAAGCTAAAAACTATGTTTCATGGAGTGCAGTGTAAACTTGAGAAATGTTGCAGTCCATGAAACATAGTTTACAGCTTGAGGAACATTACTGAACCCTGCACTACATGGATCAGAATTTACAGCTTGAGGAACACCACTGAAACCTGCACTCCATGGAACATACTTTACAGCTTGAGGAATGTTACTGAACTCTGCACTACATGGAACATAGTTTACAGCATGAGGAACACCATTGAACCCTGCACTACATGGATCAGAATTTACAGCTTGAGGAACACCACTGAAACCTGCACTCCATGGAACATACTTTACAGCTTGAGGAATGTTACTGAACTCTGCACTATATGGACCAGAGTTAATAGCTTGATTAACATTACTGAACCCTGCACTACATGGAACATAGTTTACAGCATGAGGAACACCATTGAACCCTGCACTACATGGACCAGAGTTTAGCGCATGCAGAACATCAGTACACCCTGCAGTGTAAAATGCATGATATAGATGGAGTTGCCCAATTTTTCAAATTAATTCTATCTATGGATACATAGAAAAGACAGAG